AACTTTCAACTTACAATGAGTTTATTGGGATCTAACCCCACTGTAAGTAGAGGAGCATCTATATACTAAAGTCGATTGAACTGTATACAGTTGTTCCTCAATATTCATGGGGGATTGGTTCCATGGACAATTAGTTGTATGCAAATATTACAGCATCTTATATCAAGGACTTGCACATCTGTGGATCTAATGAATACCAGAATTCCAGATCCACGGATGCACAAGCCTTTGATATAAGATGTTGCAGTATTTGCATACAACCTATTCACATCCTCCTATATACTTTAAATCATTTCTAGCTTACTTATAATACCTAATACAATGTGAATACTATGTAAATAGCATGTAAATATTTGTTCTACAATGTTGTTTTTAATTTTGTATAAATTTTATTGTATTATCATTTTTTTCCAGAATATTTTTTATCCTTGATTGGTTGAATTCATGGATATAAAATGTGTGGCTACAAAGGGCTGGCTGTACTTTAAACAAATGAACTTTATGGAACATAAAGTATATCACAATAAAGCTGCTTAAAAAATACAAGCTTGTTATTTCCCCTAATTACTTGCAGAAATGATAATATTATTTCACGTTCAGTAGCTCTCTTTGATTAAACAGCAATGAACAAGAAGTCATTTCATCCACCTCCTCTGAGACTTGATAATTAATCTTGTCCTCATCGCCTCACTTTTTAACCTGCCCATCAAGTATTTGACTGCTGGGAAGCTGGAGTTGCAGAGATAATTGGCTCTCTGCTTATCAAGCACAACTCTCAGGCCAGACCTTCAAATGTATCTCCATTTCTGCCTCCCTCTCCATATCTCCTCTTTTTCCTTTCAACCCTTACTGCTGAGCACCCAGTCAGCATTCAAAATCAGAGTTGAATTGACTCAGATCAGGGACTTCTGCCTCTGTGGATCTTCACTGAAAAGGGAACCAGAGCCATTTGTTAATGAATAAAGAGCAGAAACTGGCGGGGATAAAAAGAGATGGTGTTGAATTCTCCTCTTTCTGGATGCTGGTAGTGACTATGTAGGCAGCTTTCATTTCTGTAAGTGTGCACTACAGTAGGAGCGAGACAGGAACCAGGATGCCAATTGAGAGAACTAAGAAAAATTGTGATTGGCATTTAGGCATCAAGAGAAAAAGCTCTCTTAGCGTTTTTGACTTGCTCAATTTACTGTACCAGCAATTAAGGTGATGGGTAAATTGTATCCTTTGGATTGAAATCTCCATCTAGTTTCTAAATATTGAGGGAGTCTTTTTCTCTGCTCAACTTTCCTGCATCCATAAGGTATTGGCTAGTAGACGAGCCACTGTGGAGCTGTGCGACTCAGACAGAACCCTTACTCTACATTACTCTGGCCTAGCAAAGTTGGGAGGATTTACACAAAGGTCAAGGGACCAACCACAGCAAACATGGGGTTGAAACTTAGCTGTGTGTGGAGCGGACCTCAAGTCTGAAAAGATTCCAGAAGCTTTGCCAAATTCATCCTCTCTATCATTCAGAGACATCATCACTACAGTGATAAGTTTTAAGCGTTGTAATCAATTTTTTTAACCCATTGGATACCTATTTTTCCTTTCTCCCATTTTCTTCTTCTTCCCTTTACTGTCCTTCCTCTGCCAGTGGCAGAGAAATTTTACTTCTTCCCACTTTCCTAAAAGTGCCAAGCTGGGGGTGGGCGGTGGGGGGTGGGAGTGGGCACAGAACATGGATTCTGCAAACATACTTTCTCTGCTATCCCCTCGAAGGACCTAGTCCTGAAGCAGAGAAAGAGAAGTGAGCTTGTGGCACAAGGAAATCTGTCCAGAATCCAAGAAGCCAGGTGACTTACCCTGGGCATGTTGCAAGCCAAAGTTTGGACGCTTGCTTCCGAATGCATAGGGCGAAGGCACAGAGCTTGCCAGATTTACCAAGGGTGCCTGCTAGGGTTTGCTCCTGGCACTGAATATCCTCAACTACCGGTCTGTGCAGCTCTCATGAGCACCAACCTGTTTGCCTATTACTCCTTGGCAAGCTGACTCTTCAGGGCAGATTAATATTTGCCCTGGGATATACAAGGCCCTTATGATCCCTCCCCATTGCAAAGAAAACAATAATTGGATAACTTGCTTTTGACGGTGGTTGGATTTGTTTGGTGTGGCTTGATTTGATTTACAGCTCATTTGTGGCAGCATCAAACTGGCTCGATTCAAGGCAGCTGCGGTTTCAGCAAAGGGAGAAGAATAAGGAGTTGGGAGGGGTGGGGCAACCATAGCAAGAGCAAGCTACAGGGTTGAGTCATGGGTCCCTTTCACTTAAAGCTGCAGTCTACGCAGCCATCCCTGTGTTGCCAGCATCTGCTCATGTGGCTTCTTTGGGACGTAGCACGCAGGATGGGACACATGATTCTGAAAGGGCAGGCAATGGCCACAGAACCTGGGCTATTATCTCAATCTTCTTGTCAAAAATCACTCTTCAGATAGAAAGTAAATTTTTAGCTCTAAATTATGTAAAGTCAAAAATCTAACCACAACAGAGGACAAAAATGGAACCCTCATCAAAATGTCATTTGTTTGGGTGGTATTATGGGTTGATTGCACCCTCCCAAAAGAGACGATGAAGTCCTCCACTACCTTAGAATGTGACCTCATTTGGAAATAGGCTCCTTGCAAATGTAATTGGTTATGATGAGGTTATAATGGAGTGGGGTGGGCCCTTAATTTAATAAGACTGGTGTTTTTATAAGACAGAGAAGAGACACACAGGGAGGACACCTTGGAAAACAGCAGCAGAGATTGGAGTGATGCAGCTACAAGCCAGGGAATGCCAAGGAGTGCTGCCACCATGAGAGGCCAGGGTGAGGCAAGGGACTCTACCCAGCATCTCGGAGCATGGCCTGTTGAAACCTGGATTCCATACTTGTTGCCTCCAGAAGCGTCAGAAAATAATTTTTTGTTGTTTTAAATCATCTAGTTGTGGTGCTTTGTGATGTCAGCCCTAATAAACTAATGCAGATGATTTATATGTGAGCCGGCTGGGTTTGCCTATAGATGCCTTTTCTGCAGCTTCTTATAGGAACTAATTTAAAATTTAATAGTATTTTTAATCAGTGAAAAAAGCTGATGGTATGGCATTTGGTTGACCTAATATGGGGACAGCACATGTTTATTCTAGTGTAGCAGTGATGTGCTGAATCCCTATCAACCGCAAAGGGGATGGCACCAGGTTCAAGAGGCTGAAGAAGAGAACCAGAGCCAGAAAATGAGACATTGGGGTTTTATTGGGGGCTGACATACAGGGGAGAGTCTAGTGGTGGCAGGCTGGACAGGAGAACTGCTGGTCCAGTGGCGGCAGGCTGGTAAGAAGAACCACAACTGCCTGCAAAAGGCATGCAGTTTATACAACATTTTCACTTAACACCCTCCTTCTAGCAACCTCAGCCTAAACCTTCATTTAACCTCAAACAAAGGACTCTGATCCCCTGTACAGCCCACCCAGGATGGCCTGGGGCTCAGATGTTCCTCATAGATAAGGAATGGATCTCTGGGATGGCCACTTCTAATTCCTTAGCTTGGAATTCTGAACATATATTTGGGTGCATCTGGCACACGGGGTCATTCTCAGGGTAGGCTTATCATTGTCAGGAGTATCTACCATACAAGCATTCCTCCCCACTCCAGTGAGAAAGTTGCTAATGTCCTGTGAAAAGCCAGTGATAGTGTTCTGAGTTCACTGCTATGATGTCTTGTTATTCTTTCTTTAAAGGAGAGTTTTGACCACTAGAAAGAGTTTTAAGAATGAATAAAGTGATATTGGACAGACACAGAAACTCTGGAGGACAAATGATACAGAAGGGATACCTTTGGCACTTCCCCAGCAGGAGGGGAAGGAGGAGTAGAGGGAGGTAGTCTTAGTGCCTCACCCTTCAATCCTTACTCTGGCTTCGATGTTGTCATTAGCACATATCCCCAGAAAAGTCACTTATCTCTCTCAGGACTTCTATGTTATCCAAGGGAAATTGATTTCCACGTACCAACCTATCCATAAAACATGGAGGAGAAAAAGATAAATTCAACCTTCATGTTCCAGGTCTTTAGAAAAAGCATTTTGTGGCCTCCAAAACTTCTAGTCTCTTGGTTTTGTGTCCAGAACACTCAAAACTGTCAACATCTGTATATTCCAGGCCCCTGATTCCTCTTTCTAGAACACAGATACCATATTCAGAAACCTTTCCAGCCCAAAAGAAATCTTGTGACATCTGGATATATATTATTTTGTAAAAAAACAAATCCCAGACATGTTATTTTACGCCTACCTATTTCAGTACGTATCTCTAGCAATTATGACTATATTGTTACGTAACCAGTGTTCTTTTCACACCCAACAGAATTACTAATTTCTTAGTAGCATCTAATTTGGATGTAGTTTTTTTTTTTTTTGCAATTCAAAATAAGAAACACATTAGTTCTATTCAAAATAGGAAACACATTGGTGAATTACTCTAAATTGTTGAAGTTGAAGGGACCTCAGAGAAAATTTTTGTTAGTACCTAAACTTCTCAAGGCAGAAGGCTACATGTCCTATTGTTAAATAACATAGGACATTAGTATGTAATGAGGAACTCTGGAAATCATCCAGCTCAACATCTCATTCAATAGACAAGGATGCTGAAGCCCTGTGATGGTTAATTTTGTGTCAACTTGACTAGGCTAAGGGGTACCCAGGTAGCTGGTAAAACATTATTTCTGGTGTGTCTCTGAGGGTGCTTCTGGGAGAAACACCCAATACACTTGGTGTTGAATCAGTAGACTGAGTAAAGAATCCACCCTCACCAATGTGGGTGGGCTTTATCTAATCCACTGTGGGCCTGAATAGAACAGAAACGTGGAGGGGGTGCAAATTCTCCTTCCTTGAGCTGGGACATCCTTCTGTTCCTGCCCTTGGATATCAGAGCCCCTGTTCTCAGGCTTTAGACTCTCAGAGTTATATCAGGCCTCTTTCTGGTCCTCAGGCTTTTGGCTTTGAAGTGGGAGTTACAACATCAGCACTCCTGGTTCTCAGGCCTTCAGAATAAGACTGAATTATACCACTGGCTTTCCTGGCGTTCCAGCTTGCAGACGACAGGTAAGAGGACTTCTTGCCTCCATAATGGTGTGAGCCAATTTCCATAATAAATCTCCCCTCATATATATCCATATATAATCCTATTGGTTCTGCTTCTCCAGGGAACGCTGACTAATAGAGGCCCTGAAAAGCCATGTAACACGTGGTGAGTTGGAGACCAAAGTAGAATTGTAACTCACCCATTTGTGACTCCCATACCACAGCAGACTGACTCTTTAGGAATGGAGATGCCATAGGCTTTGCAGCCAAATTTATTATTTAATTCCAAACTTATTGTCTCTGGCTCACTCTACTACCAATTAACTGCACTTTAAGCTCACTTCCTCCATGGAAATAGACCAAGCAGCTTGGATATTCTTCCTTCTGACCTGTCATAGTTTTGAAGACCATCATTAAGCTGTGGTTTCAAGCTTTTCCTATCAGATTAAGCAGGCTTCAATCAGATCCCTTCCTCACAAGATGTTTTCTCTCCTTAAAGGCTGTAACAAATGAGGAATCTATGGGCTACCAAAGATATACCTGTTGGGAGCAAGCAAATGATACACTCTCATTTTTGCCAAGTGGTCATGAGAATATGCCAGCAAAACAGACTGCACTCAGAAACAGGCCCTACTGAGCTACTGCAGCCTGGTCTTTTCAATCATGTTTATTAAACAATGAACAACAAATGGAAAACCAAACATTGTATGCTCTCACTCATAAGTGGAAGCTACACTATGAGGATGCAAAGGCACAAGAATGAATCAATGGACTGTGGGGACTCGGGGAAAGGTTGGGAAGGGGGTGAAGGATCAAAGACTATGAATTGGGTTCAGTGTACACTGCTTGGGTGATGTGTGCACCAAAATCTCACAAATCACCACTAAAGAACTTGCTCATGTAACCACACACCACCTGTTCCCCCAAAACCTATGGAAATAAAAAATTAACAAAAAATAAAAAATTAAAGACAAACAACAAAATCCTTCATATATAAAGACGAAAAGAAATCAGGAAGCTGAGATTGGGACTTGGGTGAGCTCTTGAAAAATTTACTGAGTGGCTGAGATGTTGCCTGAGCGGCTTGATGGCTCCTCTCTCCTTGGATGAGCACACCAAGGTCCGGTGCTGTCAAGACCATATTGCTTTCTGCTCACTCTGGTGAAAAAGGGAGGGGTAAATAAGTCCAAATATCTCCAGGGTCCAAAGTTGTGTTTGGATAAATTAAAATGCCAAGTTACAAAGTTGAAGATTAAACTAACAACCACTCATTGGAGAAAAAAACGTTGCTTGACTACGGGATGCCGAAATGCTGGGCTGCTATTCTGACTGAAGTAAGCAAGGACCCGGCTGGTTGCCTTCTGGCATGAAATTAGAGCACAACCTCGATAAAATGGGATTTCATTTAATTTACTAAAATTAAATAAAAAAGGTGTTTTTTTTGTTACATTCTACTTGAGGGAAAGTAAAGTGGCAAGAAAGCAAGCAAGTATCAGGGACTTATTAAAAGCACCTCTGAGACAGTAGGTCTTCAGCGACGCACATTGGAATCACCTGAGAAACTAAAAACTACGGCTGTCTGGCTCCCATCCCTAGACGTTCTGATTTCATGGAGTGGGGTGCTGCCCGAGGTTTGAAATTCTAACGTGGAACAAAGTTTGACAACCACTTCTCTAGATATCTCTTGGTGCTGGTGTAGCACAGCCCAGTCATCTAAACCAACTATAACATCGAACTGAGAAACATTTATTTTTCCTTTTAAATCTACTGACTGAAAGTAGAACAGTCCACTCAAGGGCACATAAATAAAAGTGTAATTTAATGTCATTTAGAGATTTGCGTTTTTTTTTTTTTTTCTTAGAGAGTTCTATGCTGTTGATTTTGAAATGAAGAATTAGAAACAAATACTTCTTTATCATTCAGTCCGAAAAAGAAAATAATTCTGTCCTAGGGAAATCAGCTAAGAAAAAGGCAAAAGGAAGGGAAGGAGAGGCAGAGATGGAATGCAGAGAGAACCAGGGCGCAAGACACAGACCAGATCTCCCAGACCGTGCCTCCTGTCCTGCTCCTCGACGTCCCCAGCACACGCAACCTCTCCACCCTGCATGTACGCGTTGGTTTCTGGTGAGAGAGGAGGGGAGAAAAGGCGACCAGAGGGAGACCCAGCTGCCTTACCTTTGCTGATCTGCTGGGTTTTATTGATCTGCTCTTGTGTCTGCACTTCAGCCCGTTCTGTCCTGATTATGTCCACTGCTTTGAGCCCTGACCCTTCTTTCGCATCCCTGAGTTATTTCCTCGTGGTTCTGCAAAACCTCCTCTTAGGCTTCTGAGGGTCTGCGTGTCCTTGCCACACCCTGGAGTTTCAGATTGACTCACTCCCTTATCTTCCTGCCTTTCCAGACTGCATTGTGGCTTCTCTGGCCAGAACCTAAGCCCTGGGATTTCTGACCGTCTTTGTTAGATAAGGCAATCACGATGCCTCTCTCAGCCAGTGCCCGTCCTGAGAGAGCTGGCCTTGGGCAGCCATGTTTTTTTTTGAGGCGGAGTCTCGCTCTGTCGCCCCGGCTAGAGTGCAATGCTCTCAGCTCACTGTGCAACCTCTGCCTCCCGGGTTCAAGTGATTCTCCTGCCTCAGCTGGGATTACAGGCACGTACCACCATGCCCAGCTAATTCTGTATTTTTAGTAGAGACGGGGTTTCACTGGGTTGGTCAGGCTGGTCTCAAACTCCTGACCTTGTGATCCGCCCACCTCAGCCTCCCAAAGCGCTGGGATTAAAGACATGAGCCACTGCACCCAGCCTTGGTCAGCCGTGTTTTGTTCTGGGTGACACTAACTCCGCACTGACCTTCCCCATCCTGGGGGACCTGGCCCGGACCCAGGACAGCTGTGGTGTGGGGATACCAGGGGCCTATGTGGTTGTCTAGTGGGAGAAGATTTGTCCAAATAGGGGAGAGCAGGATAATCAGATTCCTTACCTTGGGAATTCGAACTGGGAAATATGGCCAAAATAAGAAAGCAGCAATGTGAGAAGCAGCTGAGAAGTTATGAAGTAGAAAAACAGCAGTGTGGCAAATGGCAGTGATGAATGAGCAGAAAATGTGAGGCAGGGAAATCATACGCAGAATGATAGATAGAATACAACCTGCCAGAATATGATGAAAGCTCCCTTCCCCAACATGCAGAATAAATTCATACACAACAACAGAATTTTGCAAGCTTTTGAGAGTTTGTGGACTCTCTGAGGCCCATGAATGAACCACATAGGGTTCACAAAACGCTGTTGAATAATTTCTTGGGTTCAGGGTAAAGTCTTAGTCCGTGAAGAAAAGAGAGACAAGCACCTTGGAGGGACAATCTCTAGCATAGGCTGCCTCAGCCTCAGCACTGCTGAGATTTTGGGCTGGATAATATTTTGTTGTAGGGGCTGTCCTGTACATTGTATGGTGCCTAGCAGCATCCATAGACTCTACTCACCAGATGCCAGTAGCAACCTCCCCAGTCAGGACAATAAAAAATGTTTCCAGACATTGCCAAATTCCCCTGGGAGGCAAAATTGTCCCGGAGAGAATCACTGCCCTAGAAGTTGACTGAGTCAGGCATGGGAGAGGCAGCATCAGGGTGAAGACTCATCGACTGCAGCTGCAGAAGTCCTCAGATCTGGTTTTCTGTCGTTGAGAGGCCCAATTCCTATTCGTTTCCTGTCTCTGCTACTGACTACCTCCTCCCACCCTCAGTCTCACCGGCTCCCACTTTAGCCGGCTAGCCCACCTGAATCTCGATTTTTTACAGTGGTGCTCAAACTTCATCAGAATCACTTGGAAAGCTTGAACCACAGATTGCTAAGCTCCACCCCCAGTTTCTGGTTCGCAGGTCTGGGTTGGGGTCTGACGTTTGGCATTTCTATTAAATTCCCACTCGGTGCTAATGTTGCTGGTATCGAGTCCACACTTTCAGAACTATTGCTTTACAGAAAGGAAAAGAAAAAAGAAGCCTAGCTAATACTTTTTTCTGAGCTCCTATAACAGAGACAGATGAGTAGAAGGAGACAGAAAAAGAGAAAAAGAGATGCTTCAATAATGTCTGGTACTCTGCCATTTCTTTTCTTTTCGTTCTTTCTTTTTCTTTTTTTTTGAGACAGAGTCTCGCTCCTCTGTTGCCAGGCTGGAGTATAGTGGCAGGATCTTGGCTCACTGCAACCTCTGCCTCCTGGGTTCAAGTGATTCTCCTGCCTCAGCCTTCCTAGTAGCTGGGACTACAGGCATGCACCACCATGCTCAGCTAATTTTTGTATTTTTAGTAGAGACGAGATTTCACAATGTTGGCCAGGATGGTCTCAATCTCTTGACCTCATGATCTGCCCGCCTTGGCCTCCCGAAGTTCTGGGATTACAGGCATGGGCCACCTCACCCGGCCTAATACTCTGCAATTTCTAATGCAGAATACTATCAACAAACATTTACTGAGAGTGAGGATGCATGCAATAATACTACTTTTTAAATCCTTACAGCAACTCAGAGATAACAGTAGATATTATTATCTTAATTCTACTCATAAATAAAACAAGGCTTGGAGAAGATTAGGGATTGCATTAAAGACCACATGGGTTGTAAGGGGACTGTAGTTTGAATCCAGGTCTGTTTAAATACGTCTGAACTTTCTCCACTTTTCAAGACATTTTCTTAAGCAGCATAACTTTAATTTCCTTATAGAAAATCTCATGGAGGATCTCCAAATAGAAAAGAGATAAGAGAAGCTGAAAGGAGCCCAGAATGAGATGCAGTGAGTCTCAGCCATCTGGCCCTGTCTTTTGTGGACATGCTAGAGGCATTGCCAGAAAGGTCCAGGGTTCCTAGAAATCCAGTAAGAAAGTGCCTGGCTTACAAATTCGGTCTTCCCATTGGTTCATATATTTCAGAACAATCTCTTCCTTTAACAAGGGTATGATTATCTGATTCATCTACACATTTGACTGCATACCATGAAAGGTTATTCTCTGATATCGAAGAAGCATTCGACAAGACAAGAAAAGAGATATGGAAATGAAGATTGTAATGCTTTGGCTCCTTTAATGGAAGGACACATGCATTCTAGTGGGAGTCAACCAGAAGGAAACATTCTGAAATATTAAAGTGTTAAAATATTCAGGAGGCTGAGGCAGGAGAACTGCTTAAACTTCGGAAGCGGAGGTTGTAGTGAGCCGAGATTTTGCCATTGCACTCCAGACTGGGTGACAGTGGGATTCCATCTCAAAACAAAAAATGGGTTGAAATAGTAAATGTTTAATTTCATTTTATAGACTAAAATAGCCATTTGTTCTTATACACATCTAAAGAGAGTAGAGTTTGGAAAAAATGTTTAAAAATTTAATGGTCCAGTCTGGCCTGGGTTAGGGCTAACTCTCAGGCTTGAGGCTTAGAGCTATTTGAAAATGTTTGACAAAAATTAGAAGCACTGTGTAGCTAAGAGCTGGAGATGAGCTATTTTAATTCCATGGAAGAATTCTTCAGTAAGAATGACCTTTTAAAAAATATCATGGAAGTTTCAGTTTTGCAAGATGAAAAGATTTCTGGAGATGGTTGTACAACAATCTGATATACTTAACACTGCTGAACTGTGTACTTAAGAAGAGTTAAGATGGTAAATACTATGTTAAGTGTATTTTACCACAATTGAAGAAAATGTCATCGTGGTGAAACCACAACATTTTCACTGAGGAGATGGGCAGTCAGGAAGTTTTTTCTTTTTTTATTTTTTGCTGTTTTGTGATGGAAGAGCTGTAGAGAGATTGGAAGTTATGGAAAACAGGACATGTTTTCAAATGAATGGACATTTTGGTTTTAGTAGTCATGTGAAAGGCACAGGTCAGTGAGACTCAAATTTGTGGTTGAGAAAAACATCCTGTGTAGAGAATCAAAAGGAAGAATATCTATATACTTATTCTGTCTTATTTTCCAGTTTCAAAGATTTAAAGTTCATTTTGCTTAGGATACGATAGTGCACCAGTCAAAAACAATGCATGGTTCAGAGCAGCTTCCTGGATCATTCAGAAATTCTTCAAGGACACCGTCACTGTTGGAGATTCCCTTATTTCAATGCATCGTTTTATCTGCTGCCATTAGTTTATCTACTACCAAAAAAAAAAATCTTCCAATTAAAGTATGGTATGCCAACGATTATAAGATGTATTCCAACTTCAAAGATAGTAAAATGTATTTAAAAAGATCTTTTCAGGGAACAGGGGTTTAGGGGAAAGGACAGATATTGGTTAAAAGGTACAAAAAAAAATAAGAAAAGAAAAAATATAGCTTTTTGAAATTTTATATAGGGGAGGGAATATTTTCCAATCAGTTAAAAGATAAATTTTGTAGGCAGTTGAGCTATAGGAGGTTTGAATATGCATATTACCCTATAAGTTTTATTTTTATTTTTTGAAATAGAGTCTTGCTCTGTTACCTAGGCTGGAGTGCAGTGGCATGATCTCAGCTCTTTGCAACCTCTGCCTCCTGGGTTCAAGTGATTCTCCTGTCTCAGCCTCCCAAGTAGCTGGGATTACAGGCATGTGCCACCACACCCAGCTAATGTTTGTATTTTTAGTAGAGACAGGGTTTCACCATGTTGGCCAGGGCTGGTCTCGAACTCCTGGCCTCAAGGGATCTGCCCACCTGGGCCTCCCAAAGTGCTGGGATTATAGGCTTGAGCTACTGCACCAGGTCACCCTATAATTTTCAAAAAGTGCTGATAATAAATAAATCCTGGTTGACAATTATAAAAAAAGAAAAAAGTTCGTCTTAGAATTGAAGATGTGTGGTAGACAGACAAAAATCCACGTACTATAAAATAATCCAGATACAAACATAAAAATAGGGGTTTTCCTAGAGGATGACAGATGTAAGCACATACTTGACATATTAAAAGGAACCAAACTAAGAGGTTAAAGATAAAATAAGGAAACAAAGTGCCCATTATAGACTAACCTTTATTACTCCATAGAATAATTTGCATCTGAGAAGTGTTTTAATGGAAATAATTTCTCAAAAAGATAGGTCTTACCTATCTTTTTCAAAAAGCCAGTTTGGAAATTGGATATGCATATATGTAATTTTTTTTCTTGGTAGCCCATTATCAATACTCCAAATAATTTAGGATAAAGTTGCATCTCGATTCAAGATATGCAGGGAATGAAGAATAAGCTGCAGAATGAGAGCAAGTAAAAACACAGAAATTAAAATATTTAGAAATGAGCAAAGCAAAGAAATATAAAGGGTTTGAAATAATTACATTGGTGAAAATTAAACCACAAACATTTAAAATATAATTTTTTAAAGAATTAGAATTAATACATGAATTTTTCAATTGACCTCAGGCTTGTAAGAAAAATAAATTAACCGTAATGCTCCATCCCAACTTCTGAGCATTATGATTACTCAACATTTGAGGGAAAAGACATAGTGCACTGTTAGGTTCACTATAGGCTAGAAGAACCAGATGCAAGTCATTAAGGAAGTGACTTGATTTAATTATCGGGGTACTCCTTATTAGTTTTATTCATGTAATAAATGAAGAAAAAGGGCTTCTCAACTCTATTGTGCCTGAAGCTTTTCACTGCAGAGAGTACTTTTTCTAAGTCTGTAATAATCCTTTTGAGTAGCTGTAAGAGATTTGAGCAACCTTCAAAGTCCATATCTATTGCCTGAAGCTTTTCACTGCAGAGAGTACTTTTTCTAAGTCTGTAATAATCCTTTTGAGTAGCTGTAAGAGATTTGAGCAACCTTCAAAGTCCATATCTATTGGCCAGTTTTATAATCAATTGTGGAATTTTGGAAGATACAGTCACCATTCATAGGAGTCATTCATTCCTGAGAAAACAGAATAGGTAATAATTTGAACACTTCTTTGTTGGGTTGTCTCATGCCTGGATTACAATTTGAATTATTCAACAATGAATTCTCTTTCACAGAAGTGAACACTTACTCTGTATGAATCTCACTTTCTTGAGGGCTGGAAAGAATATATGCTAAGTGTAATTCTGTCCTTGATGGACTTAGGCCTTATGGTGTGGGGGGAAGAAAGATGACGACTGTATACAGTAACTATAATGCAAAGCAAAGAAACATCAGGGTTGCTGTTCAGCGGGCTACAACATGCTGGCCAGTGTCTGTTCTGAATGGCCAGTGGCTATGCCAGAACTGTTTTAAATATTTTGAATGTTACATCTGAATAACCTTCAGCAAACAATGCCAGTTGCCTGTCTAATATCCTTTCTCCATTTCTTCTTTATTGGTACAACCCTCATTTTGTTTAATATATCAATGTACTCAACTAAAAAAGCATCTTCCAGCCTCCCCTCCTACATCTAGGGGTGGGCTATGACATAGTTCTGACCAATAAGATTTAAGTAAATTCCACTAAGGACTTCTGGGAAAGCTCTTTCAAACTAAGCCAATTCAGCTGGCCCTTGATTTTGCCCTTTTTGCTATCTTTCTTCTTGCCTGGACACAGACTTGAACCTGGAGGTGGGGCAGCTATCTTGGGATCAGGGATGACTAAGAACAAAGACAGAAGGAGTCTGGATCCCTAACACTGTTGTTTGCCAGTTTCATCATTCATGTATTGCTTACCTCTGGATTCCTTAATACCTGAGAAAAACAAACCCCTACTGTGCTAAGTCCTTGGTTAAATAGATTTGGTAACTGACACAAAGTGTGACACAATTCTAACAGACACAATATCCTAAGGCTCAAAATTGGGAAATGCCACATGAATCCATGGGGGTCATGAAAGCACTATGAAATGGACAGGGTTTAAAAGGTAGAATTTCAGAGGTGGAGAAAACCGCAGAAACCATTTTGTTCAATATCCTTATGGAGATGAAAAAACTGAGTCTGAACAAAGTAATTTGTCCAAAATTCCACAGCTGGTTACTGGCAAAATGAGCAAAGATTGGTTCTCTTGCTATCTGGAAACATAAAAGCACCCATGAAGAATGAACAAATTTGTGGCCATTTGAACAGACAAGTTTCAACTTCAGGTGTGTCCAGAACCATATACTGAAAAAAGGTGAAAAATTCAACAAAATGTAAGTGATGAAATCAGAGGTTATCCTTGAATAACCTCACACGCCCCGTACTCTAAGTCTGGTCAATTTGACCTTTTTAGTCTATGCTTTAGGGAGCCTTTCTGGACTACGCCCTCCCACTTCCAACTCCTCGTTAGATGCCATGTCCCTGGAACCACTCTGTCATCCTGCATTCATGACAGCACTTACTGCATTGCATGTTCATTTTCTCTTAACTGGGTCCTATCTCCTCCACTCTGTTGAGGGCAGAGATCCTTCCCACATGTGTGATTAGGTACTGCTCAGCACCATGTCATAACTCAATAACTACTCATAACCCACACTCAGACTTAGAAAAAAATGGCAATTCTTGA